TAAAGCATACTACTGAAATTTTTTGCACATTTAAAGAATTGTACCAAATCAATTTTAAAGCATTTTTACCATTACAAAAGAAAATCCAGTGCAATTAACAGTCACTGTGCAGAATGTACACTCTACATTCAAGTACAAAGCTTTGAATGGACCATGTTCTCTCCTCTAAAGCTTGGTTTTAGCTGAGGTATGTCACGTTTTATCCAGTTTTCTGTTGTCTGAAAGCAGAGCAGCTGGGATGGAGCCATGTGTTAGAGAGGAGGGCAGCTCAGCTCAGGTGGTGTGCAGACTACGTTAGCTTCCCGGGGTGCCATCTTATCTTCTGAGGTTACACTGACTGTCCTGTATCTTGGCTTGCTCCAACTAACTGGGTGATGGAGGGAAGTTATAGTGCATTTCTATGTGGGGATACTCCCAGGCTTCAACTCTGTCCCCCAACTAAATGTGAAGCTTGAACCCTTCCAACAGAGCAAGTCAGCTCTATTGATTTCTTTCCCTATGCATTCATAACTCCCCAACAGAAGAGGAAAAAGATAAGACTACCCCCAACCCGCCTTCACTTCTTTCCAGAAGTGAGGGTACTGGTGACTCACAAATGGGGCTTCAGAGGAGTAAGGCAAGGCAGAAGCCACGTCACACTGTTACTTTCCATTTTGCTCCAAAATCCTCTGTTCCTTTTCTTGTGCACAAGTTGTTATAATTTATTACACTAGGTTTGTCCTTTATTGGTGAATGTGTGTGCTGCCAATATCAACCAACTCCCCATAGTCAAATGTCCACACATTCTCTCTAATACAGTCCAATTCGATTGTCATCTGCACAACTGTGACTATTTTCAAGGCCCACCATCACCTTGTAAGGACGTGAATTTGAACTCCTTCCTTTTTACTGTCAGCCACAAGTAAACTACTTGACCACTTGTCGCTTCTCGAAACACTTCTTTCTCTTGACTTTGGTTCTCGGGTTTATCTGTCCAACTTTCAAACATCAGAGAGTCCTAGGACTTGGTCTTAGTCCTGTTTTTCTGCCTTCTCTCTTCCCTGGGAATGTAATGTCATACATTCCCAGGGCCTCAAACACCATCTGTTTGCTGATGCGTACCAAATTTAAAACTCTAGCATAGACTTCTCCGGGTTCCAGTCTAATGTACCCAACTGCCTACTTTCCACCATGGGAAGTATAATAAGCATCTCGAATTTTACATATCCACAACCAAACTCTTTATTTCTCTCCTCATAATACTGTTCTTTCTCTGATTTTTCTTATTTTAGTTAAGGGCACCATCATCTACCCAAATGCCTAGGCTAGAAACACTAACTACCCCTCAGTAATCTTTAATTCCTTTTTCCCTTGCCATACCTTCAAACCCCTATTCCAAACCACTGTTTCATAACCTTATTTGCTCCACTTTTTCCTGTAAACGTTTCAGAAAAGCCTCAGTTGTGCTTTTGTGACCTCTGAGATGTACCCTAGAAATTTCCAAATTAACACCATTACTTATGTATATTCCAACTTCAGGCAGCCTGTCCATATTTATAGCCCATCCTACTGGCACAAGAAAGCCCTGCTCATCAGACTAACTAATCTTCCCCCTTCTCTAAGAGGTGGATGGAAATCAAGTTGTACATGTTTTCATGACCACATAATCTAAAGTGTCTTCCTAGACATCAACCAGCCATTATCATGCTGGATGTTTTTTTTCTTATCTTTCCCTTTTTTTTTCTTTTCTTCAATTCTTAAATTGTTCTCCCTATCAAATTTCATAAGAACATCTGCAGCCTCTAACTTACTTTCTCCCAGCTCTTCCCCTCAGACTGAACAGAAGAAGCACTGTGTTGAGCACCATCAATTCTGAACACTTTCAAATTACCATAAAAATTCCTGGTTGATGTTAAAGAGAACGGCTGAATCACGATCCAGTCCTGATTTACTGATTCAATTAAGTAATACCCTAACTAAGAAGAGGACCTCACCACTACAATTTTACACGACAATCTTGTGCCTCACCTTCCAAATCTCAGGCCAACTCACCTCAAACTTCAAACTTACTTTTTTTTAAATGTTTAAATGCATAAGAACAGCATCAAATAATATAAGGTGCCCATAAATGAGTCTAACAAAATATATGAAACTTTTACGAAGAAAATTATAAAACTATCAACCATATCCGCCCCACACTAACATGAACAGAGGTGTTACTCCTTCACTGCCCCCTACCGGACCCAAGACTGTGAAATGGAGACCAGCCGATCACCACTGCTCTGCACTAAACAGTTATCTAGCAGAGGTTAGGGTGAGTTTGTGTGTGTTGGGGTGGGGGTGGTTACACAGAGAAGGGAGCTGAAGAAAAGGATTCTTTAAGCTGTGTTTGAAGTCCTGGGCAAATTCCCAAGTGGCCAGTGTGTGAAACAAACCAGAATGAACTCAGCAAACGATCAGAGAATTGAACTCTGGTGAGGAATACGGCCCAGGTCTCAGATTGGCCTCTGGGGTATACCAGAATAGCATTGCAAAGGCTTTGGAAACTGCATCGATATTGGAACCACAAACCACAAAAGTGGGCCAGGATGTGTGTTCTGAACCTAAACCTGTTAACTGCCAGCTAAAATAGAAGAGCTAAATAAGAATCAGAGTGTCATAACATTATACTCAGAATGTATAAGATCCAATCCAAAATTCTTGTCATATAAAGAACTGGGAAAATCTCAACTCAAATGAAAAAAGAAAATCAACAGATTCCAACACCAAGATGACACGAATGTTGGAATTCTCTAACAAGAATTTTAAAGCAGCTATCATAAAAATGTTCCAACAGACAACTGCACTCACTCGTGAAACAAATGGAAAATTAGACAGTCTTAGCAAAGACACAAGATATAAAAAGAACAAAGTGCAAGTTTTAGAACTTAAAAATATAATAACTGGAAGGAAAAAAAACTCAACTAGATGGGCTTGTAGTAGGTAAGATAATGACCCAAAAATTCACATTCTAATTCCTAGAACCTATGAATATGTGAGGTTATTTTGCAAAGA